CTTTGAATGCCATCTGCTGAATGACAGTGCCACTCGATTTGCAGACTCCTATTTTTAATTGCTAAAAATGGCAAGCAGAATAACTGGCTGGCTTTTTGCTGTGTTTTGCAAAGGTGAAATGTGGGACTGTGGAAGGGGGTGACATTGGTGAATGGACTAACTTTGAAATTATAAAGAATTATAAAGAAAAATGAACAGGGGAGGAAAAGAGAAGGAATTGGAAGAAATGGAGCAAGAAGAACATTATTTTGTGTAAATTAAATTTAAATAAAAACGGATGACACTGGCTCTAATCTTGTCATGATGAAGTATTTTTAAGGCCAACACTAATAAGAGTATTATACATAACATGACTACCCCATGACTATCAGGTCCACATTTTTCTTTTCTAATAATGCTGATGTGCATTTGTCAAGAAGAAAAATAAATACCCCTTTTATTGACCAAAAATGGCAGCCTTAGTCACTTAACATCTTCAGAGTTTACCTGCATCAAACCGAGGAACTGTGAATTCTGTCCAAAAAGTGTAAGAAAAAGCCTCAGAAATATTAGGTGGCCAATTGACTGGTCTTTCAATGCTCCTTAAATAGCTGGGCAGAGCTGAGGGCTCTTTTCCATGCCTTGTTGTTTTCAGATTGCTGGGGAAGTTGATCTCTTCTACTCCAGTCTAATCAAGCTCAACAAGACTTGCAGGGAAACTCCATCTGAACAGTGATAGCCATAAAAGAAAACTGCAAACCATCTCTGCCTGCAGATTTTCCATGGATGCTGGCACAAATGTGGTGGGTGGGTTCCTCCCAAGGGCCTGCAGACATCATCACCTCAGAAAGGGAAGAAAGAATATGAGACTATTCAATCACATGCATAAATCTGGCAATGTTGCAGTGAAGGGCAGGTGCAAGGCAAGATAGATAGTAGCCACAGAGGCAATTGGTTTGTAAAATGGAAAACAGGCAAAATCTTACCTCTGGTCTCCTGCAAGGTAGCACAGTGGGCTTCAGGGAAGTTACAGTAAGATATTATTGGCTTTCTGTAATAAGAGGATAGCAGTGAAAGGATGATGTGTGACTCTGAGGAAAACTGTACAACTTACTGACACAGGATGCTGAACTCAGTGGTATACATATGTTAAAAAATATTTAGACTTGTTCTGTCATATTCAGTTATTATTAAATATGACAGTTTGGACATAACTGCCTTACCAGAGAGTTCCTGAACATTGTCTGATGTTCATTGTCGGATGTGAGTCATTTTGTACTGGCCCTTTCCCTTACACACATTCCCTGTGAATAGTCCAATAGGTAAGAGCACAGCCAGGATGCTGGGCTAGATGAATGAAGCTCTAGTCTGACCTCCTATGGCCTCTCTCCTGCTCTTAGGAGAAAAAGTCCAGGCTAAAGGTATAAAATGGCTGCATGGCAGCCTATATTCATTTCAGTGAATACCATGCTAATCATGCACCAGATGCTGAGAAGTAGCTGACCTTCAGCTCTCCTGGAGTCTGAGCAGAAAAAATCTGTCAGCCAGAAGACCACAGAGGTGCATCCCTGGAAAAACAGATCCTTATTGCAGAGGCAGAGTTATTACTTGTTCCCCTGCCTGCCCTTGAGGGAGCATACATACAGCACATTGCTGGTTATGTGTGTGAGCCCCCAGCCCCTCAAAGCCTTCCCTGCATGATCAGTGTCCTGAAGCACAAACAGCCCTGAGCAACTTCAGTCAGGCAATTCACAGGCTGTAATATGAACAGAACATTTTCTAAGTCCAGTGCTTAAAGCTGCAGTCTAGCTCAAAAAAGTACTTGCACTGTACAATCCCTAACATATTTTCCTATAGGAGTAGTACTGACTTTTGTCTAGAACATACAATGATTGTTATACTGACTACTGATTTTTCCCATTCCACGGAGACAGTTGTACATATAAGCAAATACTTCCTGCATTCCACCCAGAAGGAAGAGAGGTATTTTCATATGACAAACTGTTTCCAGACAAGTGCAGATATTTGACTGAAATTTAAATGGAAGCAGCAACTTCCACTAGGAGTTAAACTTTAGAGAGAGAGAGCGTTCTTTTCAGTACTTTTCACTGGATGCTTATGTGGATGGATTGAATCTAAGCCTGCTGGCCATCAGCTCACTGCAGTCCTTGGAGAGTGAATCCATGCTCACAGTTTTTGGAATCACTACCAGCAGCATCCTCAGCACCTGCCTGGCATACAGGCAGACGGATTCCCTGGCAGCAGGAATGCTGAGCACCAGGACTGGCCCAGGGGGTTGCTGTCTGCCCTTCCAGCAAATTTCTACTTCAGTAGAAAAAAATGGGTGCATTGTTTTTTAACAACCCTGGGACTGTGATTTGTGGAATTGCTTTTGGAGTCTATGTGAACTGTCACTGCCCTGGGCACAGAGAAGCCCTTTGGCTGAGCACTGTGCCAGGCACTGCAGAAAAACACACATTCTTATGCCCCCCATGACTGCTGGAGGCACCCTCCTTCACTGGTCAAAGGTGAAAGTTTGGAAGTAGGAGAAGCAGATGATAGATGCAGACACTCAAAGTGGAGGGGAAAGAGAAGCAGGAAAGAGGACTGGAAGCTGGAGTGAAATACTATTGCCCTCTGTCGATCAATCTAGTAACTGAGCTCAAGGGAGGCAGAAAAACAGTGAAAAGGAATGGATAAAGCTGGGAAAAACCAACACCCACCCTATGAGAAAACTTAAGCTGCAAATCAGGAAGAGATTTCTGAGAAAAGTAAAGCTGGAAACAGGCTTTAAAAGGAGGAGCAGGGACTACATTTACTGCAGTTAGGATGAGATTTATTGCATTTTGCAGTGCTTATCGTGGTAGCCAGTAGCTACAGTAGACAATTTCGATACCTATGCACAAGATCTTTCACAAACCCCTGTGTTGTTACAAAACAGATGAATCCACAAGCCTGAGTACAACCAAAGGGTTGCAGATGAACAGAGCAGCAGCTTTAATCAAAAACATGTTGTCAGGAAGCTATCTGCTGCTGCGAGATGAATTCTTAGACAGTATGCAGTATTTTGGATATAAGTGAGAGTTTCAGAATGTCTGAGGGGGATCCAGAACATGGCAAAATTTCCAAAATGAGATGCAGTCTTACCAGCAAGTGTCTGCTCTGCCCCTGAAACTCTGATGCTGAAAAAAGCTTGAGGAAAACAGGATAAATGTAATGTGGATCGGTGGCATAGGTGTTGCTTTTGTTTATTAGAATGTGAAATGAGTTGAATAATTTTTTGTCTGTTATGACTATTTATGTGTGTGGGTGGAAACAGGCAGCTTCTTGAGCTTTCTGCTTAGGCTGTTACTGCTCAAACCCAGCCACAGTTTTAGCAAACTGAACACACAAGGTCGGCAAAGCAGCAAGCAGACAGGTTAAAAGAGGGGTCAATGCATGGCTACAGTTAAAAGTGAAAAAGCACAACAGAAGATGTCAAAACTTGTCAGAGGTGCAGCCAGAGTGAGCCTGCAGGCAAGGAGCTGGGACTCAAGGACAGACCTGCCACCCAGCCAGGAAGGGGAGAGCCCTGAGGTTACTGTCACCAAATTCATATGGAGTTGGTTGCACAGGTCTGGGCTGTAGAGAACAACAACAAACATAAAAGTGACAGGGCTGACAAGTGAGCATCTCTCTGGACCTTATGAAAACTGAAAGGCTCATACTTGAAGTCATAATTAACAGAAACAGGCTGATCCCCAAATTGTCTGACCTACTCAATAATTCTTGCTCATATTCAGTGCTGTATGTCAGGGTGGTCCCTGTCACTATATAAATGCTGTCTTTCCTCTCAGAAGCCCATATCCACCAGCTGCACTGAACTGAATGGGGAATTGCAGTCTGGCCATGCTGTTTTCATTTCTGCTTTCACTTCTTGTAGCTTCCTCATGCAAACAGCGACAGGAAGGCATCATGATGGGTAACAGCTTCAAGCTGTCCCATACGAATTCATCCTTCTCTTTTTTTATTTCAGTTTATCATTTTTGTTATGTTCTGCACTTTCATGTTTTCAAACATTCACCCTGTCTCCTCCATGCTTCCAGGCAGCCTTTCCCCTGCCCTCCTCATTCTAGCAGCTCTCTTGAGCTACAGACTCATTCAGAAATGACAGAGCATTGTCGTCATTCAAGAAACACTTCAGAAATGATTTTTAGAAGCTTATTTAATGAGACAAAAAGTCAAGAAGTGAGCTATTTATCCATGATTACTTCAGTAATTACTCATTCTAATACAACTTGAGTGAGGTGCTGGGAGATTAGCAAAGGCCAACAACTATACTCAAAAATAATCCAAGCATCAAATGTACTATAGGTTTATTTAAGTCCCATCACAGTATAGGATCAGGGGCAAAGTTTAAGAAGAGGCTTAACTTTGTGGTTAAAACACCAGGAAGTAGCTAAATTTTCATTTTTCTGGCCACATCTACACCATCTCTTGGTAGTGGCCACCTGTGATAAGCAGAAAGTCAGCGAGGGAGGGAATGGCAGGCAGGGCAGCTGTGTATGCAGCTGTTCTGAGGACACACATGGCTCAGCTTCCATCCTCATCGAGCAGGAGTAGCCCTTCCTACACTTCTCCTGCCCTGCCCTACTTGTGGAAACATACCTGGGATGTGCCTTGCCACGGATGGACTCCCTGGCAAATGTCTTACTGGGAAATGCAGCAGTGAAGAGCAGCAGGTAGCTACCTCCATGCATCAGGAAATGCTGTGCAAGTCTTCAGGAGGGGCTTCCTGATGAAGGAGCTCTTGTGACATGGGTTTGGTGCTTCCTGATGAGCCCTGGGGCTGAGAGGAAAATGAGTGGGCTCCTCAGCAACTTTCTGGGTATGAGGCAATCCCTGCCAGCTGAATAGGACATGGAAGCAGAGGATGGCCCTAGGGAGCAGGGAATCTGCTCCTGGCAGGCAGCTGAGCTGCTCATCTCTGCCGGGGAGCTGCAGCCCTGGCTGGGCAGCTCCTGGGCCTTGGCTCACGGTGCCTCACAGCCAGGGCTGCCCAGGGCTCTGCCCCAGTGTCATCTCTCCTTCCCTCTCTGCCTCTGCTACTGGCAACAGTGGGCACCACCTGGATTTGGGGATTATGGAACTGTGAAGCTTACTTGGCTCCTTAGGATACATGATAAAAATGTGCAGAAGAAAACATTCACTTGCTACAGCAGGCCCTGGGTCAGGCCCTATTATTGCTGCTGGCAGGGGCCTCTCAGGCCTCTTCTCCTCTCAGCCATCCAAAGGTAAGGCTGCTGTTTCCTTTCCATTTTCTCTTTGCTTGCTCTTTGGGTTCTCCTTCCATTAAAGAGTGGGTAGGGATGCATGAAAAATTAAAATGTGTTATTACTTACTCCCCTTCTGAACCACTTACTTCCCTGAGGGTTATCTGCTTCTTACTCTACCTAGTGACAAGGGCGCATTGTGCCTGGCTTTCATTAATCTCCATCCCACACAAACCTTGCTGCTCAGCAAGGTTATCAAAATTAAAATACCAGACTTTTGTCTGAAACTGTTTCCTTAGCCATTATCATGCCAAGGATTATGAGAGTCGAAAGAAAGGGGGAGATTGGTGAGGGGTGGGAGAGGGAGGGACAGGAATTTTTTCACAGGAAGGGGGAAGAGAATTTTTTTAATTGGAAAGTGTGGTGATAAAATCATAGAATTAATGAAGTGAAAGAGTTCAAAGTCAGTGCAGTACCCAAAGATACTTTAAGCACATTTTCTATCTTGCTTTCTTACAAAAACTACCCAGTTTGTGTATGTCTTTTTGCTTTGCCATTCCAGTCTCCCTGACTTTCAAACAGTCAAATCTGAAAGAGAAGTGGTGATTCCTAAGTAAATTAATTTCTTCCCTTTTCATAAAATAGCCACTGGCAGAGATATGGGACCAGGCTCAAGCAATTGCATTGTTTCTCTACCCACTTTCAGTGTTCATAGATCTAACTGTGAAGTCACGCACAGCACCACCCCATGTTTTAGCACCAACTCTGCTGTGGAAGGAAAGCTGTGAGGGAGAGTGCAACTCATTTTATAACTGAGATTAGTTTTAATAAAGGAGACACTAAATGCTGAAGGGTAGCAACTGTCCTGTTGAAAAAAATGTCACAAGCAACAAAACACATCCACTAGAAAGTCATACAGTCATAGAATGGTTTGGGTTGGAAGGGACCTTAAAGACCATTCAGTTCCAACCCCCCTGCAATGGGCAGGGACATTTTCACTAGGCCAGGTTGCTCAGCCCCCCATCCAACCTGGCCTTCTCAGCTGGTTTTATTCTTTCTGCAGCTCAAAGAATGACTGTGAACAGCTCTGAAGAAGTGAGCTTGGAAATGGGGAACATTCATAGGGATGAATGGCTCTGGGAAAATGAAATCTCCTCCTTCACAGACCATGTTTGGTCTGTGGTTTTGCTCACAGACTGATCGGTACTGGAGAGCAGATGTAGTGGGGTGGAACCTGGCAAGCATGGAGGGAGGCACTGGGCATGCTGTGTGCTGCCCCTGCTGCCCTGCTCCCCTCCTGTGGGTCCCCAGGCTCCTGCCAGAGCATGCCAAAGTCACTCTCCTTCCAAAGGGGACGTGGTCAGAACACTGTCTGTGCAGGGGCAAGGCAAAAAATAACAAAAGAAAGTACATGTGTGACAGATTATGAATAATTGATTCTGGTGACAGTGATTCACATATGTGGCATCAATTTTGGGTGCATTAGGATGCTCAGCATCCTTTGGGGGATATTAGGAATTGGATGACCCAGGGAAATCAAAGATGTTAATGCATAATTTATTTTACGGGGGGGAAAAGCAAACTAGAGCAGTCTATAAAGTTCTTATCATATCCCATTTCTTTAGTTGTGTCTCCCTCAAAAGGGTGTTCCAGCAGAGGCCTTATATTCTTGTACAAAAATATCAACTTTCCACATGGAACATTTTTCTCTATAAAATCCAAATTCATTATACCTTTAATTAGAAGTTCAATCTTTTTTAATTATTATAGTTCACTGAAGCAGGAGCCCACAAATAACAGGTCAATCAAAAAAGAGAAACACAAAACATGAAACAGATCGTGGAGCTTCATTCAGCCATTGGAAAACAGTTTGAATCTTCATGCTCAAAGAATCCCTCTGAAGTTCAGTCCTGTAAAAATCACACTTTCTCTCCTAACCCCTACACCAGTAGCATGTCCTGCAAGAGTATCTCTCTCTGCAGACTGGATTTGTTGGTGATATCACCTGCAGTGCCTGGCTGCTGGCTGCTTTCTGAGGCTGAAAACCCTTTTTGATGCCAGCCTTTCTCTCCTTTTTATTGGGTATTCTTTGCTCTCCTTTCTGTGAGTGCATTTCTTTTGTTCCACCTCTCTTCCCCTCTGGTTTTGTTCCTCTCCTTTCTCCCCTAAATTGCACAGCTTTCTAGCAGCTTTTATCTTCTGTTTCTTTCTTTCTTACAGAATTTGAGAGAAAAGGAAGAAAGCACCTCTTAAGGGAACAGGTGGCATGAAAAGTTTTTTATTTTGCAATTGGATTAACTCTTTGATTATCAGATATCCCACTATATAACACTCAGGCAAATGAGAATCATGATTTCCTTTACTCAGGTCTGTTGGCTTTGGCAGACATGATTCAAAGTTTCTTCTTGCCTTTATTGCAAACAGTATTTTCCCAAAAACATATCCATTTGGAATGGAAGCATTGTGCTAAGCCTTCACATATAGATCATATATCATAATAACATTATTTCAGTATTATATGGGACTTCAGTAGCTTTTCAGACTCAACTGGAAGAATCAAGAACTGAAGCTTCTTTCTGTTAACAGCCCCCTGGGACCGCCCTTGTATTTTGATTTGACAAACTCTGTTAAGATGTCACTTACGCCTCCATTGAAAGCAAATGTCCGCTAGGTCAGAAACAGTACACACAGTAACACTGCAGAAGTGGTGTTCAACATGGACCTGCATATCATCAGCAGTTCATGGAAACTCCTTCCTTCAACCCCTGTCCAGAGGAAGCCTATTTGGATTGCAGCTTTGTTAGGCAAGGAAGGCTGGCACTAAGGACAGCTGTGTAATCTGAATTTAGCCCACCCACACATTATGCTGCAGTCACTGAGTCCATGGTCAGCCACAGGTCTGTGGGAACAAGCAGGAACCAGAAGGGTAACCAGGCTGTCAGGTATTTGCAAGAGAAGCTGCAGAAGCCCCAGAGATTGGGGCTGTGCCCAGCAGGATGAGGAAGGACAGCCAAACTGAAGCTGTTTGCACCTCTGTGGTGAACATTGGTAGTAGATACACAATTTCAGACAAGCATCTGGTTTTATCAGGGAAGCATTACCTACCACATATCAAGAGAGGATGTCTGTATTCCTTAGCCCTAAGAGCATGTCTGTTTGGCTTGTAGACTTATTTCCTGACATGCAACTCACAAGAACCGAGAGCCAACATAATCCATATGAAGAAAAAGAAGCAAAATCCATAGGGATATATCTGTGTACACGTTATTAAGCATCAAAGGTAAAGTTAGACTAACAATAACCCAAATAAAATGCATTGTGATTGAATAATTAGTTGAAGTAATAATAAGTAAAGTAATTCCGATTCCTTTTTTTCTTTCACAAAGCTCTTATTATGCAGTGTGAGAATGATCAGAGAACTAGAAAATGATCAGAGAACTAGAAAACACGACCTACAAGAAAAGATTGAACTAATTGGTACTGTGCAATCTATGGAAGAGAAAATGAAGCAGAGACATAATGGTTTTCAAATACAGAAAAGGCTGCAGCAAAGAAGGGAGCCTTACGTTTTCTGCATCCATGATGAATAAGACAGAAACCAGCAAGCTTTATCTGTGGCAAAAAAAGATTCTGGCACATCATTAAGTAGGACTTTGACTCAGTTAAGGGCAGTAAAGACAGAGAATAGCCCACTTGGGGAAGGTCCATCTGTGGGGCTTTTAAAAAGGAGGTTAGAGAAGTATCCATCAGGCTATCTGGCCTGCTCTGTGAGACATTTTAAGGTCCTTTCCAGCTCTCTTTTCTATGGTTCTACATGTTACATGTATTTATGATGATTTTTTGATATAACAGAAAGCCTGTCTCACCACACCACACTTAACTGAACATTCTGTTGTTGGCATCTGTCAGAAAAGTATCAACCTGATCAGGCCCTTCAAGAACTGAGTACAATGCAGGGATTAACTGCTGAATGCTTTTTAATTCATCATATGTGTCAGGCCTTGCTTCAGGGTAAGCTCATAGGATAATATTGTGAGTGAGTGATGCATGATACACACATTGTGTATAGGAGCCTCACAAAGCAGAACCTGGGATAAGAAAGCATATTAATAATGTGTAGGGCATCTCAGAATTATGGGAAAATTCAAGAATTTGCTGTCAAGGGCATTTTATATAAAGCCAATACTATATTTTCAATTGGGAACATCAGGAATCAATGTGCAACCATATTTAACAGTAGAGTCCCCCTGCTACCAAAGGATGACCATTGGGGCACCAGGCACAAGCAGCCTTCTGTACTGTATGGTACTGTACTGTGGGGTTCAAGAGAGATCTGTCAGCTTTCTGCAAGATCACACAACAGCTTTATACAAGGAGGTTGTGAGAAATGATCAGTTAAGCACAAGAGGAATTACAAACCATGGAGGACAGTTGCTACGTTCATATCAGTTATTTTAAACTCTCATAGATATTTAATTTTGAAGCTTTGAATTCTCCTTTGAGGGAATCAGTGTTTCTTTGCAGGCTCTCTAAGTGACTTGGGAGCCTAAATTAGCTCCATATATAGTATGAGAACCTCCCTGTGTAATTATCTGCAACACTATGTTTAACATCCCAACTGGTGAGCAGTAGATTATTGAATCCAAAGCTAGTGATCTTGCATTCAGAGTTGCAGCAGTAGCTGGATTTCAGTGACGTGGCTCATATCCAGTTTCTGGTCAGATCAGTGAGGCTCCTAGCTGAAATATCTAGAAAGTTAACTTGGCCTCTTGAAGTTCAGTGACAGCTTGCTCAGGGGAAAAACTTGCAAAAGGAATATTAACCAGTTATAAAAACTGACTTTCTGCCCAGTCTTGGTTCACTTGCATGGCAAATATATGTGTATACATATATGTGTGTATATATATGTGTGTATATATATATATATGTACATATGTTTAAAAATGTGACATATAAAGTATTTGAGCTGCCTGCCATGCAGTGTGTACCTAGTTTGTGACAGACAGGTAGTCTTTGCAACTGCAAGTTCACTAGAAATCTACAAGTGAGCAACTGATTTGCTGGCTGCAGGACTGTAAACCCTTGTTTCTCTAAAGAAAAAAGATCAGAGAAGGAAGAAGTGTTCCTGAGTTTCACACAGCTCCCACCTAGAAAAGCCACATGCTAGCTTGATAAACTGCACAGTGAGTCCTTGAAGTCAACTCATCCCTCCTTAAACGTGATGGGTAATGAAATGCCATGGTGGCACAACAGTCCAAGAGCCTGTTTGGAGCAGACTCATTTGGCAGCGATTCTTTGCAAGTCAACACCACGTAAGAGTCCAACAGGCAGAAATGAGTGCATGAGATGTGCATATTATCCTCTCATCTCCTGCTGATTTACAGCACTTCACAGTCATTCTAGCAGAGGCACCCACAGCTTCAATGTCTTACATATTTATGCAGAAAAACTTCCTAGGCAGAAATTTCTACCCTGAGGTTTAAAGCACACCATAAGCCTGCATCTGCTCTGCATGGATGCAGGAGTGAGGTTCCCTCAGACAAAAGTTTTTGCAAGCTATTATAAGAGTCCCAGTTTTCAAACAGCAAATAAGCTGGTGTTTAAAGTACTTCAGCAGATATGTCAAAGGCATTACTATATGCTTAAAGTTAACCCCTTTCTTGTCCTTAATTAATATATTTTCTTTCCTATTTTTTTAAAAGCTACATCACATTCCTGCAGTGTGAATGGAAGATTTGTACTGATTTCAGTGGGATCTCAATGGCAGCTCTGCTTGCTTTATCTTTAGCCATGTCAACATTAGCTTTAATATCTTTGAATAGTGTGTGTATGTGCCAACACTTGCTTCCATTTTCTATCGCCTCTCTGATTGATCTGCATGGGGATTTGCTGTCATCTGTGGGTAACTGATGGGCCTTGCAACAAAATTCTATTCCTTGGCTCTTAACTGTCAAGAAGTTTTATTTTTGCCCCTCATTATTTGAAGGGTTTCCAATTCAGGCAACAAAGTAATTAAGGGCACTGGATTTAACATTGACTGTAACAGGACTATCCATCCAAATTTGACTTACATTACCTAATTTTGATTTTTCCCTGCAGAACATTTACAAGGCCAGGCAGGTGTATTATCTCTGCATACCATTCATTATCAAGCATGACTGGAACAGGTGGCAACATAGTGATGTGTGTTTAATGGAACAGACGTTTGAATGCATATTTCAAAACTGAGAAAATTATTTCCTTTGTAATGCTGTCAAAACATGAACAGTGACAATTTCAGGAATATGCTACCTCATCCTAAACTGTGTCTTACTTTCATGTCTAGTGGTTGCTAACCAGTGTTTTACTTTTCAGATTTTTGTGGTCTTCACTGATGCCTTGCTGTCTGTGTTTGTACAAGTGGTTTCAGTGTGTAACTTACTTGTTTTGATCCAACAGCATGTGGTCCTGCCTGGACTGAATGACCCCTGCCTGACTGTTGCCTTAACCTTCTGCACCTTTCAACCCACCAGCATTTGAAGTCAATGGCAGCTGTATTTATATCCTATGGTCAGAACCCTGGCCTGGAAGTCAGTCTTGTGCCAGCTGCTTCTGTGTGTCTGTCCTCTTTCACAGGCAGTCCAGATGGCTGCAGCTGTGGATGGGAGCATCACTGTGGATGGGAGCATCATTGTGTCACTACTCCCAGCTTGGGACCCACTCAGTTCCTGTGCCTTTTCAGGAAGATATGCTTCTTCCAGCTGCATGCCTTCCTTGTCCTAGGACAAATATGGAAAAGACTAGAGGGTTGCAAAAGAAGTGGAAGCTTATTAACACTGTTGGCATTAAGTGTGTTTAGATCTTTAACTCAAGTTCTGGTAGCCCAGTTCTCCTCATAATCGAGGAGGGAGGCGTACACTTCCAATGTGGAGCATCAAGGAGAAATGCCCAAAGTGCCATTTGGTATATGATTTGCACACTTACAGCTCTAGCTTTCACTCAGTGCTCATGATGCCTGAGTCTCTAATCCTGCAGACTCAGATCCAATTTTCAGCTGCAGCAAGCTAAAACCCTCAGAGAGTCTCATTGGTTTCAGCAGAATTATTTGACTGTGTAATTCAAAGGCTGAGTCCTTTCTTTTTAAAAAAGCACTACTAATTTTGGTCTATTTAAATTCACAGCCCTTCATGCTCCTGAGAGTCACAGGAAGCTGTTTTCACAGAAGAGATGCACAACAGCCTGATGGATATCACACTGAAGTCAATCACCACCTTTCTGCCTCACTGTTACAAGCAACTGCAAGTTTCTGGCTGACTTGACACCACAAATAGGGTGTTTTACTTTATTATCACTGTTTTAGAAGCATAAGAAATTTTTTATTTCCCTGAAAACCAAAAATAGGTAAACTTACAAATATTGTAGAAGTCAGTTTTCATAATGGAAATATTCAGAACTGTTTAAATGAGCCAAGGTATTTGTAGCAACTGACCTAATTCTTCAAACCAGGGGATATTTTTAAAAAGAAATTTAATTAAATGTAGATAGAAGATGTATATTTAACCAGTATCAGATATCTCAGAAATGGAGTTATTTTTAATTCTATACTTTAAGTACTTCTTGACTCCTTTGAACTTTATTGTCAAATATGTAGAACGTTAATTAAGAAATTTCCTTCAGAATCAGGTCACAAAGTGAATTAAAAAAACACAACTTATAAAACAATATCCACTGACATAGACTCCTCACTGCTCTGAAATCTTAATGCCACAGAATATTAACAATAATTTTAACTATATTTAATCCTTCTCTTGTGATTTTCTTTTTGCCTAACCATATTCCCACCCCATCAGCATAGTCACTAGATGGTAGGTGTTCAAACATAGTGCCAAAACATGATACAAATTTATTTTAGCCCAGCAAAAGTGGAGGGCATAGGAACATTAGGCATTTTAAAGCAACAGACCAATAAAATGTCTTGAGAAGAATCAGTGACTACTGGGCCAGGTGGGAAACACATGTACCACACATTCCAAATAGATAAAGGAAAAGGCTTCAACTGACTGAGCTTTTATTACATGGCAATGGAGGCAATCTCTATTGTTGTTGTTGTTTTGGTTTTTGTGGGATTTTGGGAGGGGGATTTTTGCTTTTGTAAACTGGAAATGAATAAAGACAAAAGACATTTTTGGTTCAGTGCAAACACTGAACAACTGTCTCACACAGATTTGCTACCATTTCCGGCTAGCTGCCTACCTGAAGGAGCCTAATCTGGGCAAGCTGACAGCATTTAGCACCTATTTCCTCTACAGCTGTTACACATCAAAACTTCTGATCTTTACTTCATGTCTAAACACAAATGCTCTCAGCTGGTTCAAGATATTCAGCTCTCATGCTTTTGAAAAAATGGGCAAAATTAGACAAAGAATAAAAGAAATGCAGCAGAATGTTATCTTAGTAAGAAAAATGCCTGTTCAGGTCCCCTTTTTTACACTATATGTCCAGCATCATGTCAGCTGCTTCCTTGAATTTCTCCTAGAATCAGAAATGGTGCAGAGATTATACTAAGGGAAGTAAATAGCTAAGAAAGATTTGTGGCATTTGAAAAAAAGAAAAAAAAAATTTTAGAATTGTTTATACCAGCTTCAAAATGAATAAAGACATTGACCTATTAATAAATGCCAATTAACTTTAATCATCTGACCGGTGACTTAAATAATCTTGTTATTCACAGATATGAAAAAGAAAAAACAAGAGGTTGAGAATTAATGAGCTATTTCTGTGCAACTTCTCAATAATCTTTGGAAACTCAGAAGCAATTGGAATAAAAACCTTTTAGTTCATTCCTTTCTCTTTAGAGTTATTCAGTGATGCTCAGGGTCTGGATGATGTCCTCACCACAAGCTTCATGCAGACCATAGAGCCCCCTCCTTTGAAAACTGCTCTGTCTTTTGGACATTTGTCTTTCCACTAGCTTTCATGGGCTTCACTCAAAGAAAAGTCTCCATTTTGCCTGACAAAGACTGGAGTGATTGCCACCAATTACTGGAAATTTATTCAGCAACCAAATTGTGTCAGCAAACACCCATACAATAACTCTTTAATCTTGACTCAGTCATTCTCTAGGAAGGTCACAATTATAAGCAGTTGACTGTAATTTGTGTGCTTTATTTTCTCCATGGCTAATTCATTAGCTAAGATGTCCACCTTTATTTACTACACTGTTGTGGGATCAGCTGGTTCCTGGGAAGCACAGGTCTGACCCCATGTGCTGAACATGAGGCTCACACATGATTTTTTGCAGTGTTGGCTGCCCAAATGTTGTTGGCAGCTTGCTTACTCCAAGTTTCTTGCCTCAGTTCCTTGATCACAATTTACCTGCCAGTTGATAAACTGATTTAAGTGGCCATATTCCATGACTCCACAGTATTCACAAGAACTCTTCAGATTAAAAAAAAAAAGAATACATCACATACCACTTCTTACTCTCTAAAAAAAGACCCAACTAGACCCAAAAGAGCCAAACAGACAAAAAGAAAAGTTGACTATGAAGGACCCAGCCATAAAAAGCGTAAGATGAGAGATACTGATGTAACTCAAGCTGGATCATACTCACTGACAGTATGCCACAAATTTCACTGTCCATATGGCACAGTAAAGAAATTTCATGTTCTGTAAACCAAGTAGCTTATGAAGTGGGGTAGAAGTCAATACCGATCAAACAAACCTGACACAGGCACAGTGTGGAGGGGAGTCTGGACTGTGTGGTCCAGAAGGTCATATAAAGAAAAGAAACTGGTTCCCTGTGGCTGTGTAAAGGTCTGTGAAGTTCTGTCTCTTGGTCTCAAAGACCTGCTTAAGTTCACTCAGAAACACTGTCTTCAGAGGGATCACATTTGGTGCAAGGTACAAGTAGGTGTTTTTAGGGAAGAGTAGCATTGTGATGTGAATTGTGGCTGGACTCTCCCCACCCCTGCCTTCACCCAAACCTGCATTTTCCAGTGGAACTTCTGTGAACAGGACCCCTTCTCCCTGGGTTTGCTGCTTCGCTTACTAACAGGGGCCATAAATACTAAGAGCATTCAGCTCACACAGATGAAACCTAAATTCAAAGAGCACAGTCTGTCAGACCGAATAAAACCGGAGGCTGTCTCAGTGCATAAGTGCAGCTGTACCTTTGCCCAATTTACAGTACATTTTGAAATGTACTTAAATAACAGTCTTTTTCACTGCAGTCAGTTATAATGGTCATTAGAGTGCTCTGCATCAGCTTGATGCGCTCATGAGCCTGAATAGTAGCAATTTATTACCCACGGGGCCATGCAGCTTCAATCTCCAGTGGCACAATGAGTTTTCTTTCATTACTATAGAGACGTTTCAGTGCGTTCATTCACCTTCCCTGAAGACAGCCAGAGTGCCCCAGTGAGAATTAAATACACAAATTTTCCACACTGTATGATACACCTACCAATTTTTCTGCTGCTATTTTGTAGGATTTAGAAACCATTTTCTGAAAAAAATAATTTTCTGAAACTTGTCAGTTTTGCCAAGGGCTGACCTGCTCCTTCACTACACCTTCCTGCCCCAAACCAGCTGGGTAAGCCAAAGGTCCAGCTCTGTCTTTCCTAGTGGAAGCAAACCCAAGAAGGATACTCTGGAAAGCAAACATCTCTTATATTCCCTGAGATAAGGGTCACCAATGCAGCAGAGCAGTTTCTTACCCAAATGATACATGTCTTTTGACATTGTTGATGACTCAGGCTTCCCTAAAAGCAATGCTAAATGGTCCCTGCAGTCTCATAGGCAATACCAGCATACCAAGTGCTGGTAGGACATGTTTTTCTGAGTCATCCAATTTTTTTTTGAAAACTCTGCCTACATTTGAACTATTTATTTAAGACACATTCTGACTGTAGACAAAATATAAACTGATTTTTCTTTAGTCGGTCTGTTTCATAATCAGAATCATATTGCTCCATTTTTAAGCTTTTCAGGTAAAATACAGAGAGTACATGAGGCTCACCAGTAGTATTCCCAAAGATTCACAGGCCCTTCCAACAAATCAGTGAATATCTGAGTGACTTATGAAAAGGGAAAATACACTTTTAAGACCATTACAGCTCACTGGAGTTTTATTCTTTAGGACTGAGAGTTGACTGAATAATGAGTCAGTCATAAAGTTTGTGGCCTGTGCTAAAATCAGACAGGGATGAGTTGCCTGCTCTAATGTGCTCATTAGGGACAGAGTAAGTACATCCTGGTATGCTTGAATAGAACAATTATTTTCTGCTGCAGTTGAAATGAATTATCAAATGCCAAGTGAAAAGCTCTGTTCTGAGTCATCATTCATCAGGAAAGATTTGTTCACAGCATTATAAAAGCTTGCAGGATCAAACGTTTATATAGGACTGTATTATTTGTACCAGCAATCAACACTTGCAGGTCTTTCACACACCTAAATGAAGTTTGCTTTCATCTTTCCTGCCAGCACTCAGAATATGCTTCAAATTATTGTTATCAAGATGTAAGTACGGTACTGTTGCATTCACTGGTATTTACTTCACATTTTTTGAATTTTCCTGAGTGGCAAGGTTATGAAAAAACAGTGGCCTTGGCAGTGTGTACCCACTGGGAACCTCAGCCAACGCACCCTGAGGAACCCAGACAGGAGCCCATGTCCAAGACACCATCCACAGCCACCTGCAGACCTATTTGTGGTAGGCTAGGAAATCCCAGGGGACTAAAAACCATCTACTTCTCTTTAAAGGTTAAAGTGGCCTTGCCCAGCACTTAAAGGTTGCAGGGCAAGCTGTAGTATGTGAGGTGCTGGAAAACAAAATTAAACTTATTCTACTACAGGGTCTTTATTTTCAAAAGACAAAAAAGAACCAGCAAAAGCAGGCAAAAAATGAATCATATCAAATTTACCATAGTTATACTGGATTCCTTCTTATTTAGCTGAAGACAAAGTTGATATTACTGCTGAACTTATAAGCTTTATTAAGTAAATTACATTGAAAGATAAGAAGCTATGGAAAGTAAAATAAAAAAAAAAAAAAAAAAGAGGGTTACATTATACTAATAGAATTAAATCCTGGGAATTAACACGCACAGTTTAAAATTTTATCAAGTACAAATAATCAAACTTGTTAATTCATTTCTTCTGGGCACAAAACTGCAATTAAACCAAAATTATCTCCTTGGTACACAGTGGATGCACTAGCAGAACTAAAATGGTGGATCACTTTGCAGCATTTTTTGCATGTGAGGCAGTCACAGGTTTGCACTACCCAGGAAACAGTTTTAACTGAGACACTATTCAATATCTAGTAAATAAGCCTTATATTAAAAGCACGTACACATGTTACAGTTCTGCTACTAATGCTTTCGAGTCACATACCCAA